GGGTGACTCTAGGTGGCTCATAATGAAAGTAAAACCCACAAACAGTTAAAAAATAAATACCCTCACTAATTAATTAAAATTAATTAATTAATTAAAAAGTCAAACTACAAAAACAAGCCCTATACATAAAGAACTAAAACATTCAAGATGACAGGGAACTTCTGCCGGTCCGAGTGGGGAGGGCTGATATAATGGGTGAGACGGCTCCTCCGATAACCTGGTCCTGTGCCATGAAGGGCTTTAAAGGTGATAACCAACACCTCGAATTGGACTCGGGAGCAAACCAGCAACCAATGCAGCTCGCGTAACAGCGGTGTTATATGGGCCCCCCGGGGGCATTCAGAACTGTCTGCGCAGCTGCATTCTGCGCCAGCTGTAGCTTCCAGATACTCTCCACGGGTAGCCCCATGTAGAGTGCATTGCAGTAATCCAACCGGGAGCTGGCCAGGGCATGAGTGACCGTGTGGAAGGCCTCCTGATCGAGGAAGGGCCGTAACTGCCACACAACACGAAGTTGCGCAAAGGCCCTTCTAGCCATGACTGCCACCTGCTCCTCAAACAGGAGTCGTGGGTCCAGGAGGACCCCCAGATTACACACCGGGTCTGTCTGGGGTAGTGCGACCCCGTCAAGAACCAAAGTTGATAAACCCCCAGATCTTGAGGCTCCCCACACCCACAGCCACTCTGTCTCACCAGGGTTCAGTTGAAGCCTGAATTTTTGCTGCGTAACTTCCAGTCTCAGGGGGCTGAGCTCTGTATGGGAAGGAGCGAAAGGAGAAAGGAGGGAGCGTCTGGGCAGGCTGCTCTCTGCGTGGCTGGAGTGGGGGTTGAGAAGGGGAGTTGGCAACGTTAGAGGGTACGGTAAATCTTACAAGCATAGCTAGATGGCAGGTTTGTAGGTGTAGGATTTTATAGCTACGTAAGTGTTATTTATGCTGAGAGTTAGAAACAGAACTTGGTGTATCTTGATTTTATTGCTTTTGTGCAATTTTAAGCGTTGTTAGTTCTACTTGTCAGTTCTTATTGTGCCTGGACTGTGCCCTGGCGGGAACATGTTATGTTTTGTTGGCTTCTGTGGCAGCCCAAGCCCACCCGGGGGAGGATGCGGATCCACTCCCTGGAAAACGTGGACAAAGCCCTGCAGTTCCTGAAGGAGCAGCGAGTCCACCTGGAGAACGTGGGTTCTCATGACATTGTGGATGGCAACCACCGCCTGACCCTAGGCCTCATCTGGACCATCATCCTGAGATTCCAGGTGTGGCAAGAGGGCAGAGCCCCAGGACGTGGGGTCAGGTTTGGGCAGCTGGGTCCCCTAGTGAGGCTGTGTCCTGGCAACTCAGCTGCTGCTGGAGGTCTGATGGCATCCAAGTGAGGCCTGGAGCAACCTGGAGACTGCCTTGTCTCCCTGAGTCCTCCAGAAGCAGGAACAGCTGGAACAGCAGCCTGTATAGGCAGACAGAGAGTTTGGGGAAGCATAGACATCCCGGGCCAAGGAGACCCGGGGGAACCAGCTGGATTGGATCTTCCTCCCCAGAAGGCATGTCAGGGAAGACAATTATGGAAATGAAAGCTGGGGGGTGGGCGGGCTGGATGCAGGTGAGCTTTAGGGAGAGACACCCATCCCCTGCTTCCTCCTTCCAGATCCAGGTGATTAACATTGAAACAGAAGACAGCCGAGAGACCCGCTCGGCCAAGGATGCTCTATTGCTCTGGTGCCAGATGAAGACAGCAGGGTGAGTGCGTGGGGCGGGATGTAGCCATGGCAAAGTCCTGTGGCTTGCCGAGCCTTAGCTTGGCATGGCCAGATCGCTCACCTTTTTTATTTTATTGTGTTGGGTTTTTTTAAAGATCCTCTCTCACCGTATGATTTAAAAGGCAGTTTACAGGCAAGAGAATAAATAGCAGCATTGTGATGTGTCACTGAAGTACGAGGCTACCTAGTTCCCACCAACCCGAGGGGTGGGATGCTGCTATGAGTGAACGCCTGACCTTCCTGGCTCCTTCCCCATCTTCCTGGTTGTCAGGCTGCCTTGGGGGTGGAAAGCCTTTCCGGCATCAGGGGCCTCTGGAGAAGCGCTACGGGAAAGACATGCCCTCTCATGCCTGGGCCTGCACAGGCAGCCTGTTGGTGGGCAAGTGGTCCCTGGGCCCTGCTGCTGCTGCTGCTGCTGCAGTCGCCTGCTGACATGGTGGGGGGACAGCAAGAGCCCCTTTCCATCCTAAACTGCGGAAGGATGGACAGACTTCTCCCCTTTTCAGCTACCCCGAAGTTAACATTCAGAACTTCACCACCAGCTGGCGGGATGGACTGGCCTTCAGCGCTCTCATCCACAAGCACAGGTGAGGAGGCTCCAAGGGGAGTTATGGAGAGGTGCAAAGGACCGCTGTCCAGTGGCTGTTCTCTCCAGCCAGGGATTGGGGGGCCAGGAGTGCTGTCTCCTGCAGGAGCTGGCAATTGGCTGGCTGCAAAATAAACTGGGTTTCTCATGGGAGCACTGACCCAGGCTACCGGTGGGTTCAGTGCCATCAGGAATGCCTTCTGCATCAGATGCAAGTTCCTATCTTGGATAGGGCCCTGCCCCTCAGGAGGCTCTCCGTTTCCTCCCCAGGCCGGATATTATTGATTTCAAGAAGCTGACCAAATCCAACGCGGTCTACAATCTCCAGCAGGCCTTCAATACAGCAGAGCAGCAACTGGGTCTAGCTAAATTGCTGGACCCAGAGGGTAATGCCTCGAATCAGCCCCTGAGTGGCATGGAGAGTGATGCAAAAGCTCAGTGGGGCCCAGAGAGGTCCCATGCCTGGAGCAGGTCTTTTCCTGGCTATGGCACCTGTGGAAAGGAACCCCCTTCTCAGCCTCCAGGAGTGGGCGGTGGCCCTGACCTGCAAAGGGTCCTTGGCATTGCTGTTGGGTGATGTTTGAAGTCCCGAGCTCTGCCACAACCAGCATTCTGTGACAGGTGCAGGCGCTTCTTGCCAGGCACGGGTTCAAAAGCTGGGGAGTTGCAGAGGAGCAGAAGGCGTGATCTCAGGAACCTGAGCGCCAAGTTGGTCTGCCCGGGTCACTGCCCTGTTCTTCGCTGAGACTGAACTGAACCGGGCTGGGAAGGAGCTCCTCAGCCTCAGTCACACAGGGAAACGGGGTCCTCTCTTGTCTGCTGCCAATCTGTGCATCACAGCCTCTGCCCCTTTTGGTCTCTGCATTTCAATCAAAATGTCCTGATTTGCCAGGATTAGATTTCCGCTCCTGCTCACTGGGTTGCCTTTTAATCTGCCTGGGGTCCCACTTTCCACTCCTCCCTTTCCTCGCGCCAGAGTTTTGTTCCCCAGCAGGCCTCTCTGCCCATTTGACTGAGTAGTCCTCAGTGCGCTGGTTCAAAGGCGTGGGACTGAAGCGGCTCCTCTCCAGGGCATGATGGCCCTTTTGTGGGGAACGACTGGCAGCTGCCGCTTGGGTTGCTCGAAAGGGTGCTGGGCAAAGGCCTGGGAGGCAGGTGCAGCGGTGGGCCTGCGAGGCCCGAGGTGCCTCTTGGTTCTGCTTCCTGCCTTGGCCTTTTGGGGGGAGTGGTGCTGAGCCCCCAGCAGCAGGTCCTTGGGGGTCCTCGGGCCAAAGTCCTGCTCGGCAGAAGAGCCGCTGCTCTGAGTGCAAAAGGCACCCAGCCCTGTCACCTTTCCTGTAAGAAGGAGTCAGGTGACAGGCAGGTCTATCCCTGCTGATCCCAGAGGGCCGTTGCCAGGATCCAACCCAGAGTAGCGCTCAAGGACCCACTTGCTGCACCCTCAGGGACCCAAGAGGCAAACGCGCTTCTCCCTCTTCCCGTTTCCTTCTCACAACAGCCTGCGGGATGGGTTGGGGTGGGGTGCCAGGTGGTGGATGTCCACGCATCTCTGTGCGAGTTCCAGGAATGGGTGAGGGTCTGAACTTGTATGGGCTCTGCCCCTCAAGCCCTTGCCTGCATTGGAGGGGGAAAGTCCACCCACCCCAAGTCTTTTCTCCCTCGACACCCCCCTGGCCGCCTCCCCTGCTTCTGCCCTTTCTCACCTCCTTCCTCCCTTTGCAGATGTCAACGTGGAGCATCCGGACGAGAAGTCTGTTCTAACCTACGTGGTTTCTTTCTACCATTATTTCTCCAAGATGAAGGCGCTGGCTGTGGAGGGGAAGCGGATAGGAAAGGTGAACCCGGACAGATGTGCGCTCCCAGAGGCACCTTGCCCACGCTGCCACGGTGCTGGGGGAGGGGCGTTCCGGGGACTCAGGGACTCGGCTGAGCCCAGGGCCATGCTGCTGCTGCAGAAGGAAGGAAGCCCCCCCCGCCCCCCATGGGATATTTTAAATCCTCCTGCAGAGGAATGCTCAGCAGCTCACAACGGACCCTAGAAGGAAGGGGCCTTGTCCAGCTTTTGTGAGAGCTCTTGTTGCTCCAGAAAGGATGCGAGTGTCTGACAGGAACCGCTGGGGCTGCCCAGGGCCTCTTGGGTGACCACATGGACCCTGGGCTCTGGAATAGGTGGCCTGGTGAAGGGCATCAGTTCCCAAGGGCACACGCCTGGAGGAATTTACAGCGCTGGGTGGCTGTTGTGGAGGAACTAAGGGGCGCTCAAGACTGCACGGGAGGCTGAGTGAATCGTGCCGAGGTGGCGCCTGTGTAGGCTTCCTCACATGGCAGGATTGGCAGAGAGCATTTTCAGAAAGGCATCTCCCCTTCCCCTGTGTAGGTGCTGGATCAAGTGCTGGAGATCGAGAAGATCATAGAGCGGTATGAGTCTCTCGCCAGTGAGTTATTGGAGTGGATCGAGATAACCATCCCCATCATCACCAGCCAGAAGTTTGCCAACTCCCTGGCTGGGGTCCAACAGCAGCTGCAAGCCTTCACTGCCTTCTGCACCCTGGAGAAGCCCATCAAGTGAGCGTGGCCACGCGAGGGAGGACCAGCAGCCTTGCCAGAGGCCAGAGGGAGGGCCGCTTTCTCCCACTTGGGCTCGTGGCTCCTTCTGGTTCTGCAAGGCTGCTGCCACCTTCCCTGCCTTGCTCTGAGTGGGCTTCGTCCACAGGCAAGGGTGGTCACCCATGAGTAGGCTGATCCCGTGCCCTTTGCCTGCAGGTTTCAGGAGAAGGGGAACCTGGAGGTCTTGCTGTTTTCCATCCAGAGCAAACTCCGTGCCAACAATCGCAAACTCTATATCCCCAAGGAGGGAAGGAGCATCTCGGACATCAACAAGGTGAACAGAGGAGCGCAGCCGTCCAGCCTCTCTTGGCCCAGGCGCAGCCCTGCCTTTCCCTCTCTCCCTCTCTCAGTCTCGATCTCTCTTAGGCCTGGACGCGGCTGGAGAAGGCAGAGCATGAACGGGAAGTGGCCCTCCGCACCGAGCTCATCCGCCAGGAGAAGCTGGAGCTGCTGGCCCAGCGCTTCGACCACAAGGCAGTCATGCGGGAAGCGTGGCTGAATGAAAACCAGCGGCTGGTCTCTCAGGTAGCAAGAGACTGGTGGCCTGCAGTGGGCTGGGAAGTAGCCAGCACCAGGCTGGGGTATCCCAGTGGAGGACCCTCCTCTTGCACTGGTGTCCAGCACAGCAGCTTTATACTGTCCTTCGGTAGAAATTTCCGGAGCTGGGCTCTGTGGGGTATATTTCTAAAAGCGGGGGGGGGGGGCTGCTGGCCTTGGTGGGGAAAGCTGACTTCTTGTGGAAAGGCTTCAACGAAGCCAGTATGAGGTCCGAAGCAGGACTAGGAGGGCGGACGCGGGTCAGCTCTGCTCACGAGCCAGGGCAGCCCTTCGGGACCAGGAGGGCAGGGCTTCGTGGCAGCTCCAAGGCATGAGTTCGCAGAGCTCGGCTAGGGAGCCCTTATTTCCAAATTCCGTATGAAGGCAGGAGAGTCGCTGCGCTTGCTTGAAAAGCACTCTGTGCGTGGGCAAGAGCACACTGCTCTGCTGCTGCTGCGCTCTCTCTCCTCATGGGCTGGCTTTTTTCCCTTTCTCCTCCCCAGGACAACTTTGGCTGTGACCTGCCTGCCGTAGAAGCTGCCATGAAGAAGCACGAGGCTATTGAGGCAGACATCTCCTCCTACCAGGAGCGCATCCAGGTGGTGCTGGAGCTGGCCCACGAAGTGGAGTCCGAGGGCTATTATGACAGCCGGCGCATCATTGCCCAGAAGGACAACATCCTGCGACAGTGGGGACTTCTGACGGAGTTGGTCAGTGCCCGGCGCGTCCGGCTGGAACAGAACGTCGCCCTGCAGAAGATCTTCCAGGAGATGGTGTACATGATCGACTGGATGGAGGAAATGCAGGTCTGGGGGCCTCCCCAGCACTGTCCTGAGGGAATGCGGCCGGGCAGGCGGGTGGGCAGTCCTTGGGCATCTGCATGGAACAGGCCCTCTGAGGACCCCTTCAGGTCCCGTCTATAGGCACTGGTGGGCCTTGAGCCTACCCTGATCTTGGCTGGCTCCATCCCCAATAACACGGGGAGAGCAGCTGGGGAATGGGGTAGGGCGGGGCCCTGCCCCCTGCCACTTTGCCAGGCTGAATCCCACCAGCTGTATTCGTGTGTACGTGTGTATGTGTGTTACAGTGTTTGTAACCCAAAGAACGCTGAGTGGCGTACAGCATCACACAAAAGGAAAACACAAAACAGGCAGAAAGCAAAGAAAACCCAAGTTGGGGGTCCACAGTGGGGGTTTCGGTTGAAGTAGGAATGTGCCAAACCTCTGTGCTGGAGACAGAGCGCTCCACGGAACGCCGTGTCAGGTTGGCCTGGTCCAGAGGAAGAACGGGATGTTCCGAACTTCCCTGGCATGTTCTGTCTCCGCAGCAGGAACGCTGCGCACAGACTCGGGCTTCTCTTCTGATGCCCTGGAGTACCCAGGCCTGGGCCACCCTGATGATTTCCCAGCTGGAGAGTCAGCCAATCCTCTGAGCGAGCAGAGGCTTAGTGTGGCCCCAGCAGGCCCTGCCGTGGCTAGGGAGACCGGGCAGGTGAGCCACAGTGCATCCTGCTTGTGCCCAGCCTGGGAAAAGAAGCCACCGAGTCTTGTCACTGGCATTCATGCCTTTGGTCACCCTGATAGGCCCAGCTGGCCTCGAAGGAGTTTGGGAAGCACCTTCTGGAAGTGGAGGACTTGCTGCAGAAGCACAGCTTGCTGGAGGCTGATCTTTCTGCACAGCGGGACCGAGTCCAGGCCCTCAACGCCGCAGCCCTCAAGTTCTCAGAACTGCAAGGTGACTCAGACCGGCTTTACATCCCATCTCCCCCAGCAGCACGGGAGGGGTTTGTAGGTGGGGGTAATAGGTTCTGCAAGCAGACTCTCACTGTGGGTCCTAGTTGCTTTTCACTCCCTTTGCTGTTTTCCTCCCTAGGCTACCAGCCCTGTGACCCCCAGATTATCTGCAATCGGGTCAGTCACGTCCAAGGCTGCCAGGAGCGGCTGCAGGAGCTGGCTTCCAAGCGGCGGAAGGAGCTGGAGGCATCCCGCCAGCTGTGGTCCTTCCTCCAGGGGTTGGAGGAGGCAGAGGCCTGGGCGTGGGAAAAGGAGCGCATCCTGTCGTCCTCCCAGAGCTACGGCAAGGACCTGGATGGCGTGGCCAAGCTGCTCAGCAAGCACAACCTTTTCCTAGGCGAGCTGAGTGGTCGCCGTTCCTTGCTGCAGGCCGCCATGCGGCAGGGGGAGCAGATCCTGCTGCGAAAGCGCTTCGGCCTGGGCAGCGTGCAGGAGAAGATCCGGGACGTGCGCCTGCGCTGGAAAAAGCTGGAGGGGCTGGCAGCCAGCCACCTGCAGAAGCTGCAAGGGGCCCTGAGCTTCCACCGGTTCAGCGCCGACACGGGCGACCTGCTGGCCTGGCTGCAGGACGCCTACCGCCTGGTCTCCAGTGACGACTTTGGGCACGACGAGCACTCCACCCGGTCACTGGTCAGAAAGCACAAGGGGGTGGCGCAGGAGATTGACAAGCACCGGGCGGTGGTTCTGGCCCTGCGGAAGCAGCTGGCCGCCCTGGCCCCCGAGTACCACGAGACGATGGACGTGCAGATCCGCATTGTGGAAGTGGAGCAGCTGTACGAGGAGGTGGCGGAAGTGGCCGTGCTGCGGCGGCAGTGGCTGCAGGACGCCCTGGCCGTGTACCACCTGTTCGGCGAGGTGAACGCCTGCGAGATCTGGATCGATGAGAAGGAGCAGTGGCTCGGCCGGACAGACGTGCCCAAGAAGCTGGAGGACGTGGAGGCAATCCAGCACCGGTGGGCGGGGAGGGGAGGCAGTGGGCCCTTCGGAATAAGGCGGTGGGGCGGGGGGCGGGGTCAGAGCTTGCCCCACGCACCTTGCAGGTCTTTCCCTGCTGTTGCTGCTTCTGACACGTCCAGGTGGGCTGTCTTTTCAGGATCAGTTGGGCTGACTTCGCCTCCTTCCTGTGCAGGTTTGAAAGCCTCGACCAGGAGATGAACAGCCTGATGGGTCGTATTCTGGATGTTAACCAAATTGCGCAGCAGCTGGTTGATGGGGGCCACCCTAGCTCCTCTGAAGTCCGATCCTGCCAGGACCATCTCAACAGCAGGTAGGAAGAGGGCAGCCCAGCTGAAGGTCAGGCAGGCAGGTGTTCTCTGCCCTGACCTGAATCCAGGCCGTGGGGCAGGACAGTGGCAGCTTCTCACGTTTTGCGCCCAGGAAACCTTTCAGGGACCCAGCTGCCCCAGACTGCTTCCTCTGTCCTTTCAGACCCTGTTTCCCTTTGGGATTTTCCTTGGCCCGTCTTCTGCTCCGCTGAGCGAGCCGAGGACGTTCCGGCTCTTAGAGTGCGTCTGTTCCTTCTCTCAGAGAAACCCACACCCTCACCACGATCTTTCTGCACTTGTCATTCCTGCGGTGTGACTAGGTGGAACCGGGTGGTGGAGCTGGTGGAGGAGAAAAAGGATCACCTCAGCTCCATCCTGAAGATCCAGAACTATCTGCTGGAGTGCAGAGAAATCAAGTCTCAGATCCGGGAGAAGCGCAAGGCCATTGAGTCCACCCAGTACAGCAGTGGCGACCTGGGCAGTGTCCTGTCCCTCCAGCGCCGCCTCTCCACCATAGAGGCAGCCCTGGTGCTCCTGGAGCCCCGGCTAATTGAGCTTCAGCAAGAGGGGGAGTTGCTGGCCAACACCCACCCCACCCAGGCTGTGGAGATCCTGATGCATTTTGAGGAGATCAGCGAGGAGTGGGAGGCCTTGAAGAAGACGCTGCAGGGCTGCGAGGACTCGCTTACCGTAGCCAGCAGGTCAGGCCGGCAGGAAAGAGTCGGGGGGCTGGGGGCTGAAGGAGTAGAGGGCTGGGCCTCGCTGCAGGTGGGCCAGCGGGAGCTGCAGAGTTCAGCCCCCACCAGAGAAGGCCAGGGAAGCTGACCAGGGCTGGGGCGAGGCAAGGAGCATCTCTGGAGCCTCTCACTCCCCCCGGGTGTCTCTTTGCAGGCTGCAGCAGTTCATCCAGGACCTGGACAGCTTCCTGACCTGGCTGGTGAAGACGCAGGCAGCCGTGGCCTCGCCTGCGGAGGAACTGCCAGGCAACCTCCTGGAGGCCGAGCGGCTGCTGCACCAGCACGCTCTGCTCAAGGAGGAGATCAGCCGCTACGAGGAGGATTATGCCAAGATCCAGGCCGTCAACGATGTGCTGGCACTGGAGGAAGCTGACCTGCCCTACCTCTCTCTCCAGCAGTGGCTGCAGAAGCTGGATGTAGGCTGGAACAAGCTGCTGGAGATGTGGGAGCACCGCCGGGAGGTCTTGGTGCAGGCACATATCTTCTTCCTCTTCCTGCGCGATGCCAAGCAGGCTGAAGTTTGTCTGTACAACCAGGTAATCCTTGCTGCAGCGCAGCAGCTGGGGGGCCCTCCTCCGTGGCAGCTAGGCTGCGGCACTGGATCCTCAGCAGCGCTGCTCCCAGCTTAAGTTGTGCCAGGGCGGAGGCCACGAGCATGCCTCCCTGGCTTCAGAGGAGGCCACTGATTTTCACACTTCTTACCCTGAGAGCTTGGAATGTGCCTGCTAGGAAAGGAAGTCGCCCCGAGTCTGCCATGTGGCGCCCATGAGGGCCCATCTAGGTCTGCACCGTCTGTCAGCCTGAGGCCCTGATCCCTTAGCTGCGTGCCACGCCGATGGGTTTAGCCCAGCTTTCCCCAACCCCATCCCCTTGGATTCGTCGGCAGTCCCTGAGCAGTCTGGCCCCCACTGGGAGTTCTGGGGCTTGTCTCCACACCTTGGGAGGCTTGGGGTTAAGGAGCCAAGCCAACTTCTGCCAATTTGAGGTTCAGCGGGGGAGTGGCAGGCTCAGTTCTCACCAGTCTCTGGCCTCGCAGGACGTGTTCGCTCCATGGCGGATTCGCTCACCCCAGCTGAACTGGCACAATACCCTGAGTTTGGATACTGAGTTAATCCCTTTGCTGGGTTTGTACAATAATTGAGTCATGCACTAACCAGATGAGTGGGTTCACAAAGGGTTAACACTGGCCAGGCACAGCAGGTTGTGTGGATGCGGTCACCTGGTCTGCAGTGGACGTAGCTGAATGCGTTGCTTGAACCTGGTCCTTCATCCTGGTGTGAGGCGCGAATCAGATCGCTGTTGGTTCGCCCGAGTGCGGCATTCCTGAGCTGGTTCAGCCCCTCACAAAACAGTAGACCTTTTCTGGACAACAGGTGAGGCTCGGGGTGCAAGAAGAGATGCTGTCAAAAGGGCCAGCGGCATGTGGCCATGTCCTCTCCTGGAAGCAGCGGTGCAAACAGAAGTCGTCTTCTGTCTCATCCTGGCTTACCCTTTTATTAACTGACATGAGCCTTGAATTGGTAAATAGAAATAAGAAATGGCTCCTTTTCTGGCCAACAAATTTGATTAAAAGGAATAGGATTTCCTGAGCTGTAATTCGCTTCATCAGATGCATGGAGCGGTTCAGCTGACGTGGGACGTAAAAGGAGGAGAAGGCGGGGCGGGGCGGGGAGGCCTGGCCTGGCCTGGCCTGGCCTGGCCTGGCCTGGCCGTGCAGATGCGGAGCCTCCGTCGTTGGGGCTTCTCTTCTCCACAGAAGGCCTGGAAATGCTGCGCACTGGAAGTGGCGGAGCTTTCACCGCCACGCCTAACCGCCGAGTCTTGGTGTGCTGCTGGACTTCCACTGAATGCCACTGGTGGGGACGACCATCTGTTGACACGCGAAGCTCCCTAACTAAGGGCTAGCCGGTTTAGGGCAGGCAGGAGAAAGGCAGAGTCAAGCCAGTTCTTTTAGTCTCCCAAGAAAGGGACGAGGGATTTTAATCAGTTTCTCATTCATAAACTTGAAGTGCGACTTCTGACAGGTGTGCACTACTATGTTACATATATAGGAGCACTGTGTGCACCCATGTATGGGTGGGGTTGACGAGCTGGTGATTGCAGAGGATTCCTGCCTGTTTTTATTCGTTCTACCTAGTCTTCCCTTGGGAGATGGGGTTGCCTTAAATTCAAGTTGTTGTCTTTTCAGATAAAATATGGTAGTTTTCCATGTGTGTTTTAACCTTTTATATGCCAGAAGAATAACAATGTTGGGTATTTGGTGCTTGAAAAATTTCAGGACCATTCTCAACATAAGGCTTCATATGTAATTATTTAAAAAGAAGAAACCTTTTGCGCAGCAAGTGAGCCAAAGACTGGCTGGAGATCTAAAATTAAAGCAGCTGCTGCTGCTGCCTTCCCTAAGGAAACCTTGCAGGGGCCCTTCCTGCCCATGGGGATGCTCGGGGAAGCTGGCGGGCTTTTCTCTCTGTTTTTTGTGGCATTGCAGGGCAGAAGTGCCATGCCCGTCATTCTGCCTTAGCAATAGAGTTGGTACAACTCCAGGCCCACCACGCTTGTGGCTGGGCCCTGATCTGAACAGGGGAGGGCGAAGAAGACGAGAGCAGCTCGCTGCCCTTCAGCACCTGAGGGATAATCGCAGCCTGCCCAGAGATGTCTCTCCCACTTCCCCCCAGCTTCCTGCATTGTGGATGGCAGTTTGGCAGAGGCCGCTGGGAGCAGTTGGCCAAATAGATGCTGTTTGTAATCTGTTAGTAATTGTGCTTTTAACCAAAGAATGGGTTAGGTAGTAACTAAAATACCATTTTGTTGAGGAGAATATCATGAGGCACTCTGCTGAAGGCTTGGGTGAATGTCTGTGCCACCCCCTTCATCTACTGCTGTATGCTAGTAACTCTGTCAAAGGAGAAGAAGGTCTGACTCCGTCGGTCTGCCAGGTGTCTGCTGGCACCTATTAATTTTAGCATGCTTTACCTAAGTGTGTGCGAGCCTGCCGTTTGGCCATCTGTGGCAGGACCTTGCCTAGCAGAGTTGTCAAGCTGGCCGCCTCCTTCCCCTTCCGAAGATGGGGCGATGTTGGTGCCCTCCAGTCTCCTGGGGCTTTGCCAGACCTCAGAGATTACGGAGAGCAGTTCGTGATCTGCTGGGAGGCAGTTTATCTGGCCCTGGAGACTGCTTAAAAAGGCTAAGTTCCTTCTTCCCTTCCCCTTGCCTGCCCTGAACGCCAGCTCCCCCTTGTCCCATCATCGATGACCAGCTAGGGCTGCATTTCCCTTCCGAGAGAAGACGGGGGCTAATGGGGTCGAAGAGTTCTGGCTTCTTTGATCCTCCTTTTACTTCTAACATACCAACGAACTTGGCTGGTCTGCGGCATCTCTCAGAAGCCTCGGCTGACTCTGAGCGCAACCTTGCATGACACAGCGCCCGCAGGGTCCGGGGCCTGCCCCGTTCTCTTCTCGGGCAGCGCGCCCGCCTTCCGCTGCCCGTTCGCCTTTCGGAGAGCTCCCCGGCCGCTCCCGCTGCTCCCCCTTGTGGAGACTGCTGGCAGTTGCACCGTCACTCTCCTTGCAGGGGCTTCCCCGTCGCTCAAGGCCACTGGATTGAGCACGTCGCCCTCGGCTCTTCTGAATGCAGGAGGCCTGCCCGCTCTCCTGGGGAATGGGCATTTGGCAGCTGTTCGGGAGAGGGTGGACCCCGTGCTTTTGCTTTCGACAAAAATGCTGCTCCTGAATGACTGGCTTCTTCCTAGCAAAATTCAGAAAGCCAGCAGCTTCCCTGGGCAAACGCTTGGGAAAGTGTTTTTCAGTAAGGCAGCTTGTTCAAGTAAGGGCAGGGATCTCTTGGGGAAGGGGGCAGTTGGATCCACAGATGTTGTTAGGAAGCTGAAGTAAAGTAGGGAGTGTGCTCGGAACCATTTGGGAGTTGCTTTTCCCACCCTACAGCTATTTCTCTCTGCTGGTCGTGGTCGGGCCTAAATGAGGGGCAGTCATTCCAGCGGACAGAAGGTGTTCAGGACCAAAAGTACCTAAATACTTGGCACCACCACAGTAGGGCTTTGCGCAGGGCATGCAACGTCCTTCCTTCTTTGTATGGCCAAACAGCAGGATCCAACTTCCATTGTATCCAGAAGTCTGAGCAGGTCACTCCGATTTTGTGTTTGAATCACCCCTGGCTGGGGTGGTGAGCACCATGCAGGAAGTTTGAGCTGGCTTGTTTTGCTTTTTTTAAGCAGGCCGCACAGTGTTTTCCTTCCATTTCAGTATGAAATAAATTGTGGCGTAACATTCTGCGCTTCTGTTAGCTCCAGTCTTGACCATAGCAGTCTTTCCATGGCCTGCCCTTGAAGACTTTTCCAGCTAGAGCAAAACGCAGAGAGTGCTGCATTTTCTAACTGGCTGCCTCATAGCTTCATTCAGGGTACCACTGCCTGCCTTTAAAACTCTTCACCACATGTTAGTCTTATCTGTTTCTGGTTTTGCTTTCAATTTTTCATGCGGGTTTATCTATGCAAGGCATCCTGAGCCTTGGCAAGGCCCTCAACAAATGGGCTAAGGTGGGGAGGGGGTCCAGCCTTGTTGGCGATGGAGTTGGAGGTCACCTGGCCCGCTGGCCTTGGCTCCAGAGGTTGTTGCAGGAAGTCTGAGTGGGAGCAGCTCCACAAGCAGGAGGATTTTCCACAGCCACGGCCTCAGCCACCCCTTTGGAATTGTTGCAGGAAGCGACGCTGGCCCACGCAGAGCTGCCCGCCACAGTGGAAGCGGTGGAGAAGGCCATCAAGAAGCAGAAGGAGTTCATGACAACCATGGAGCTCCAGATGCAAAAGACCACCTTGGCTGTCAAGGCTGGCGAGAGCCTGATTCGGCAGGGCAACCTTTATGCTGAGCGGGTGAAGGACAAAATGGAGACCCTCCGGGCAAAGTAAGCAGGTGGTCAGCAGTGGCCCCAAGTACAAAACCCACAAGACCTGCCAAGAAGACTTCTGTGCCAGCACCTTGCCCCTCTGGGTGTGCTGAACAGGTCTGCCAGGCACCTCTCTGCCTCACTGTCCCAGGCTCTGGGAAGTCCCTCTCTGTTCCTCCTCCTGCCCCAGGCCAACCTTGGGTGGTTGCCAGCCGCTCTCTGCCACTCTCCCTGCGGTCTGAGCCCAGCTGCAGTCTAGCTGCAGGCCCTCAGCTGCAGCGGGAACACATGCAGTTATGCAGGCTATGGCACGGGGCATGGGGCTGCAGGGGCCTTTGCATGCCCCAAGCTCCTAGGCCAGAGAAGGAGTCTTACCCACGGGTTAGGGTTAGGCTCCACATGCAGGGCGGGGCCCACTCTCAAGCCTCGGAGGAATGAACGTGAGTTTCTCCCAACCGGGTGCCTCGAGAGGCCCTGTAGTGGAGCTGTGGCCATCTGCAGCCACATTCAGATGGTGCTGGTTGGGGAAGCCATCCCACCTGTCTGCCTGCCCAGGTACGCCAGTTTCTCTTCCAGAGGCCAGGTGGCTTTCTGTCTCCCCACAGTGACTGTGTCTGGCTGCGTTCCCCACAGCTCCTGGGCCTTGGGTTTCAAGCAAGAACGGAGATCAGCTAAGATGGAGGAGGGCCGCAGTGAAGGTGCTTGGGCTCAGAAGGAGCCCACCCTCCTCCTGAGGTGCCACCGCCGCCGCCACTGCTTCTCTTCCTCCCCCCCCCCAAAGCTTCTCTTTGTGTAGGGCTAAGTGCTAATTTATTCTGACATCTTAATGGGTGTCAAATCCTGAATCTAGTTTTCTGCTCCAGATGGAAACAGCAGCTCAGTGGCTAAAAGAAAAGTGGGAGGAGCAAGGAAGGTGACTCTTGGCAGTATTATTATTATTATTATTATTATTATTACTACTACTACTACTACTACTACTACTACTACCACTGTCATCATCTATTGGTCCAATCAACATTGCAGTCTTTAAACTGGGTCTTACAGTGATTTGGGCTCTTAAAAAGGAACACAGACTGTGCCTTCCCTTGCTTGGCGTTGTCTGTGGGCGTGTGGAGGGGAGGAATCAGTCTGACA